CATACATGCCTACATTCATAAATATTGTCAGTATATACACACAGACATATACACACTCAGTGACAGTCAGAACTATAAGCTACAGTACGCATGTGATTGGTTACCTTTGTGACGAACATAGCTTGTGGCCAATTGCATTTCATGAAAAGAAAAACCGGAACAACGGATTTTTTTTTCTTTTCTTTTTTTTTAAAGCAGATTATAAAGCTATGCTGATCTAAAAGGAACGAGTAACGACAAGCTTCCTAGAAATGTAGTGGAGTAAAAAGTACAATATTTGTCTTTGAAATGTAGTGGAGTAAAAGTAAAAAGTTCCCAAAGAAATAACTACTCATGTAAAGCAAAGATACTCAAAAAATGTACTTAATTACAGTAATAAAGTAAAAGTACTTTGTTACTGTCCACGACTGAATAATGTTAAATGCTCTTGTTGATTTGACATGAAAACAATGTTCATCAACCAACAACAGCTGGGGCCACAGGTCTCTGCTGCTGCAATTTTGTGGGTCAAAAGCTGAAAAGTTTGGGAACCACTGGATTAGAGTAATCCAGTGTGTGTATCTGCGTGCACTGAGAGAAGACCAGCTTGATTTAACGTYCAGCTCACAGTGATGAGTGAAGTAACTGGAGCCACTGTGATAAATTGTGTCTAAGAACTGCAGATATTTTGATGCAGCACTCATGTACTGTATAGCACATCTCCGTATTTCATTAAGGGGGTAAAGTTGCAGATACTAAGGTTTTTCTAACTTTAGGTGAGAAGCAGGCTTTATTTCTAAAATAAAAACCCAGCTTCACCTTGAGTTTGGTTACAATTTTGTTAATCTGGGCTTTAAATGATAAGTCACAGTCAATGGAAAAACCCCCAGATATTTATAAGTGGAGACCAGTTCTATTTGTTGTCCCTGTTGGGTTAAAAGTTTTGCAAGGCTCCCTGGATGCTGTCTTCTGTTAGATAGAATCACAAGCTTGGTTTTGTCAGCATTTAAATCTAATTTAAGATTTTGGAGACGAGATTGAATGGTGTTAAAAGAGCCTTGAAGAAAGGTAAAAGCCTGTTTAAGGGAGGATGAACAGCAGTATTCGTGTTACATCTGCATAAAAGTGGTTGGAAGCATTACACAGACACAGATCATTGGTGTAGATTGTTAATAAAATTGGACCCAGAACAGAACCTTGTGGCACCCCTTTGACAACGTTTAAAAACGTAGAGGTTACCAGATTGTGTTGTTAGTCAGGTAGTTTGCAAACCAGGAGACTGTGTGCTTTGATAGACCATGCTACCAAATAAAATAAATATTAAATTGTTTTATTCTTTATGATTTTTCATGTTTTTCAGAAGCCCAGTTGTGCAGGAGACACAACTCCCAGACTCCTACAGCCCTCCCCCGTAATAACAGAGCCCACTTCAGTGCGCAGGAAGAGAGTCCGGAGCTCTGTCAGCTTCCTCAGTGATGCCATGGAGGGTGCGCTCATTTCAATACTAACAGAAAAAAATTTTTTTAAGTGTTTTTGTATTTTTAAACTGATTAAACAGACATGGCTAATTTGTGGCCATACCATCCTGAACACGCCAGATCTCATCTGATCTTAGAAGCTAAGCAGGGTCAGGTCTGGTTAGCACTTGGATCAGAGACCACCTGGGAATACCAGGTGCTGTAAACCCAATGTAGGAGCTGCACCCAGACTGGAAGACTACCAATAGAAAACCTTTGATCATAATAGGTCATAGGTCACCTTCTATGAAGGATGACAAAAAAAAAAAACAGACACAGCTAAACAGTGAGATTAGGGCTTAGCAGAAAATGATTTTAAAAATTTAGAAAAACTGTGATATCAATGTGCTATCAATTAATTAAAAATTAGCTACATTTTTTTCATTTACATTAAAAAATTAATCTAGGAATAATTTCAACACTTATTGTTTATTGTTGGCTTATGAGATTTCCAAATCATTGCATTCTTGCTTGTTTGTTTTGTTTTGTTTTTTATGTCCCATTTGTCAGCATTGTGATCGTAATACCAGTAGTGGCTCCTAGATTATAAATATCAGTAGGGCAGACATTTGTTTTCTATATCACTAACAACACATTTTTACAATTTATAGGATATTTTTCAGGGAAAAACATAATATATACAGTATATTTAATATTATTTTGTTGATATTCTTGTGCACAATGTTGTCAACTTTTTTTCCCCTTCCATGTGTCAAGGTTGTGTCTTGAGAAAACAGTTCAGTCTAATATTTAAAGGYGCTATATTATGTAAGATCAACTTTTTTGAGTTTTATATCATGTTAAAATGTTATACTCTCATAAAAAAAACATGCCCAAAGCCTTGCTTTGACTCATTCATGCATGTTTGAGAAATCCTGCTGCGTTTTTAGGCAGCCATGCTGAGGAGCAAAAAAACAGGTGGGGACTAGAAATGGCTTTTGGCACCAGAAATGCCCCTGGGACGTGTCTTTAAGCCAAACTTCCTCATCACGGAGCACACCTCCCCACCCCCCAACCCACACACCCCGCATACGACTCCTGCAGGCTCTCGGTAGTAACAAAGCAAACAAGTGGAAGTGAAAGTGAAACTTAATCTGTCTGCTGAGATCCACTACTTCTCACTCAGTGAAGATCTTTCATATTCAAAATACCTTTGAGAAAATGTAATTTCAGATGCCAAGTAAACTGTATTACAGCGCACGCGCGAAGTAKCCRGCGCGCGCGACCCCTTCCCCCTTCCCAACCGAAATGGGCAAGACAGAAGCGGAAGGTGGCTCTTAAAGAGACAGAGGCCAATTTCAAGGCGCTTAGAAGAGGAAGAGATGAGAAGATACGTTTATTTTCTATTTAAACATAAAAACAGCATTTTAATAACAGCTAAAGGTGACATAGATACTTTATTATGGTATAGTATTAAAATGTATGCCTGAGAAACACAAAACATAGGCCCTTTAAATAAAAAAGATGAAGGCCTCCCTCGCACCCCACCCAAAAATGGGAATATGTATATTGCATTTTTATGCAGTTAAAATTAAAAACCAAATTTGTATTCAATAATTTGCATTAGGAGGAAGAACTTTCTGGGGCCACTGATACTTTTTTAAGTACTCACTCCAATGGCCTTGAGTATTAAACACCTTTGCTGGTCAGTTATGGGGTTCAAACTTTTCCAGTCTTTAAAAAAAACCATTGGTTTCTCTTTGCAGAACTGGAAGAATCCAGGCAGAAGTGCCATCCCTGCTGGTACACGTTTGCCAAGAAGTATTTGATCTGGGACTGCTGCCCCTGGTGGCTGAAGCTGAAGGAGTGGGTGAAGTTCATGGTGATGGATCCTTTCCTGGATCTGGGTATCACCATCTGTATAGTCCTGAACACCCTCTTCATGGCCCTGGAACATTACCCCATGACTGATGAGTTCAACACCATGCTGTCTGTGGGCAATCTGGTAAGAAGCTTTTAAATGATAAGAACCGGAACATTTTCTGTGTTTAATTCTCCTGAGTGCCGTCAAGTGAGACGAGAACAGAGAAGAGGATGAAGAAGAGGAATAAAGGTTTGCATGCAGATAATGTAGTTTAACAGCAGATAACTAGTTTTTTATAGCTGCCACACTGATGCTGAGTCAGAGGTTGTGTTTTCGACTGATTTAGTTATCCTGGAAGGAAACAATACTTTATCAGTAAGCAGGGTTATTTCCTGTGTTTGTAGTTTGATATTTGTTATTACTGTTAAATTATAATCTCAAATGTCTTTAAATGTGTATTTCAAAGAAAGCAAATATTATCTTGCGATTTTACCATTGTGCCTGATCAGTCTTTAGTGGGTTTGTAAGAATTACATCTTAAAACCTTTAAACCTTCACTGTGACAGGAAATATCAAAAGGCTGTCCAACTGCTCTAGTAACTTTCAGACACAYCAGTTTACTAAATAATTTCAATAATTTTAAGCTTTTGTATCATGTGTTTAAACAAAGAGTTGTTATAAGAAACCAATGTCTATATCATTTTTAAACTCTGCTATTCTAAAATGAAAAACGAAAATCAGCTCTCAGCTTRATCACATTACTAAATGTTTGTGTGCAGGAAACCCCAGGGTTTTGAAATTATATTTTGCCTCCTCAGAACATTTTTTGTACCACCCTGTCTTTTTGTCCCAGGTGTTCACAGGGATCTTTACAGCTGAGATGGTTTTGAAGCTGATTGCCTTGGATCCATATTACTACTTCCAACAAGGCTGGAACATCTTTGACGGCATCATTGTCTGCCTCAGCCTGATGGAACTGGGTCTGTCTAACGTGGAGGGACTGTCTGTGCTGCGATCGTTCAGACTGGTAATCTCTGACTCTTCAAACTCTCGTGTTTTCTGTCTGTTCTGATTAACCTTTCTTTTAGTAAACACAAACATTTCATTTTACCAAGAGTTTTGAAAATGTGTCAGGTATTTTAAATAATTCATATAAGCGCTCAAGAGCACCTTTTGCAGTATGGTTGGTTAATGTTATTTTATTTGCCTTCTTCACATTGTTATCATCAGTTGCGAGTTTTCAAGTTGGCAAAGTCCTGGCCAACTCTCAACACTCTAATCAAGATTATTGGGAACTCTGTGGGAGCCCTGGGGAACCTGACGCTGGTGTTGGCCATCATTGTCTTCATCTTTGCCGTGGTGGGGATGCAGCTGTTTGGGAAGAACTACCAAGACTGTGTGTGTAAGATCGCCTTTGACTGCCAGCTGCCTCGCTGGCACATGAAGGACTTCTTCCACTCCTTCCTGATTGTGTTCAGGGTGTTGTGCGGCGAGTGGATTGAGACCATGTGGGACTGTATGGAAGTGGCCGGGCAGCCTCTTTGCATCCTGGTCTTCATGCTGGTCATGGTCATAGGTAACCTGGTGGTAAGTTTGCTTACAGTATATAATTCAAGAACTGCAAACTGTCTGCTGATATCCAGTATTATTTAAGCTTTGATGCAGTGGTATCATACTCATTTTCACTGAGAGCCACATGAGCATTATGAGTACCCTTAAGGCCAGTTGTAATAAATGTTGACATTTGGGAGTTAAAGTCAACTAAACACAATATGTCATGTCCTCATCTCATTGTTACAGCTTACAAATAATAACTGAACTCTACCTGGTATTTCCTGCATAGAAACAGTGTTTTAACATTTCCTCTTATAAACACTGAAAATTACTACATCCAGTACACAACTGACTAAATGTGAAAGAAATATTACAGAAATACTATTAAAAGTAAAAGTAAGAGACTCACTGTTGAGTAACAGCTTCAAATTTATTTCCCGTCTCAGAGCCTGTAGAAAGCAAAAAAATATATATATAATTAAATAATCTCTCGAAAGGCACTGCTGCTAGAAATAAGTTCCTCACCCCTCCCCATCCTCCTTTCCCTGCTCCTATGTGCTGCTGATTCTATCTCCACTTCATGTCCCCATGCACCCTCCCACCCTCACATGTGAGTAATAAGGATTTTTTTTCTGAAAAATACTGATTTATTTATTTATTTATTTGTTATCTTTGTTTCTGTAGGTGTGGAGCCAAGATGTCGGGTGTGTTGTCTTGTGTTTTCCCGATAAATATATTTCACATGTTTCTAATCTCTCTTTCACGCTTTCCCATTACATTTCACTTTTTTTCTTCTTTCTTTTTCCTCTTTATAAAAAAAAGTCACTGATGATGAAGAAGCTAAGAAACTAATATTCAGTTCTGCTTTCTAATGAAGTGGCTTAAAAAACTGATTTTTGAAGGTCAGGCTACAGGTAAACGCTCAAAGGAGTTTGACACGGATGTAGGCGGCGAATAATAACCCTATAGAAATACTTTTTTAAAAAGTTCAAACTARGCTTTTTCATAACTAGGACATCAATATGACCAAATCAAAGTGTTATCACATCCAAATAATGATGTCAGAAACAAATCTGGGATTTTGCTGCACCCGTAAGGATTGATGTTGCATGTTATTAGAAAAGGGCATCCCTAAAGCTAATGACCACTACAGGAGTTTATATCTCATTTAGTGCTTTTTAAAAACATTTCAGTGAACAGTTCATTTTTGAATGTATGTTTTTTTTATATCACCCTTAAATTAATGCCTGCATAAAATATAAACTTATGATGATTTCATGGTATATGTTACCAATTACGACATGTATTACTAAACCTTAGGACTGTTTCATCCACTACTAATGACGAAGGCCATGTGAGTGAAATTGTGGTCTAAATACTGTGCAGCAAAGGATCAGCTAAAGCCACAGTGCACTTCCTGTTCCAGCTGTTGCATCACTTGCAGCTGTTTTTGTTATTAATGGGTTAATCAGTTTGATGGTTCACAACTGCTGTTGCTCAGGACCACAGAAAGGATGCTTGCTAGAGTCATGGTGGCTCACTGTGCTGAGGCTTCCTGTGAGAGAACATTCAGGAAAAGTAGAAAATATAATTATCTAAATAAGAGTAGATTAAATTTAGACTCTGTTGCTTCTTTTGAAAGAGTCAAAATTATGTAAGAAATTTTCATTCCAGTTGGGATTTTAAATTTTTGAATAGGTCCATAAATTAGCAAGAATTTAGTCAAACCAAAAGCTGAATATGTTTTACCAGCTAGCTCTGTTGGCTAACGATTTAATAACCATGTCAGATTAAAAAAAAAAAAAGGAGGGATTGAGGTCGTGTGGTTGTCTGTTTCCTGTTGGATGTAGTTCAAACACCTGTTCCCAGCATGCCCTTTGCTGCTTTACCATTAACTGTTTATCTGTCTTTTAATCCCATTCTCTGAAATGTGTCTGTCAGCACTTTTTAAATCATTTTGGCTTTTTTCAAAAATATTTATTGGGGCTTTGTACAGTTTAAAATAAATAGGATTGCAGCATTATTATTATTATTATTATTATTATTATTATTATTTTGCTTGTTTTTCATCATTTTTACCATAATCTAGATTTTTTCAGTCTTATACTGTTTAAAAAAAGTTTTAGTGAAGGACCAATGAGTTTTTTTCAAATTAAAGTTTTATGTAAAGTTTGCAACCTTGTAGATATGAAAAGCAGTTTAAATAAATTACTAAATTAAGCAGAAGCAAAATGGTAAATGGACTGAACTTATAGAGCGCTTTATCAAGTCACTCCAGATCCCAAAGAGCTTTACAGACATTCACCCAGTCACACTCACATTCACATTCACACACTGATGATGGCAAACTACATTGTAGCCACAGCTGTCCTGGGGCACACTGACAGAGGCGGGGCTGCCATGCACCCACAAAATCATGATACCAAACAAAACAAAAAACAATCTGAATCAAAAAAAAATGTGTTTGTTTTCCTCTTTTTTAATCAGGTAAATCTCAGAGATCACAGATC